CTAAAAAGTTTAAAAATTGAGAACTGCCCGAAAGTTAAGGAGTTGTATTGTTATAACAACCAATTAACTAGTTTAGATGTTAGCCAAATAAAAGATAGTTTGCGGGTTTTTTCTTATCGCCATAATAAGTTCTTACCTGAGGAACAGGCTAAATTAGATGATTTGCTTTTGCCAGAGAGTAGCACCAAAACCCCCCCAAATATTCCGGCTCAGGAGCGATTAGATAGAAGGTATTCGCAAGAAGAAAGGGTTAACGTTACAGAACTAGATATTAGTGGATTAGGATTAACTGGAGAATTAGATTTGACTGAATTTGTGAATTTAGAGAAATTGGATTGTAGCGATAACCAATTAACTGGTTTAGATTTGAGAAATTGTGAGAAGTTGGAGATTTTGGATTCAAGTTGTAATGAAATTAATGAATTAAGTGTTGATGATAATCTAGAATTAGTGCAATTACTTTGTTTTAATAATAATTTGGAAGAGTTAAATGTAAAAAGTAATGAAAAACTGAAAACACTTATTTGTTCTCAAAATGAATTGACAGAATTGTCGGTCAATCCAGAGATTAATTTTTTGGATTGCTCAAACAACTTATTGGAAAATTTAGAATTGGGTGAATGTTTAGAGTTGCAAACGCTTCGATTTCATAATAACTATATATTTTACATTGACTTAGAAAATTGCCAACAATTAGAACATGTTTATTGTTATGGTAATCAATTACAAGAAATAAGTGTAAAAAATCTAAAAAATTTAAAGGAATTATATTGTGCTCATCAAATGGACGACACCATGGACGAAGAATTTGAAGATCATCTTACACTTAGAAAATTATGTCTCCAAGGTTGTCACTCCCTAGAAGAATTGGATTGTGCGGAAAACCGTATTAATGAGATCGATATAAGCAACTTAAAAAGTTTGCGGTTCGTTTCTTGCAGAGAAAATCATTATAGTTTAAGGAAAGAAAGCAATGCTGATTGTTTTTTGAAAGTGGTCGGTTGCGAAAATTTAGAATATTTAGATTGCACTAGGAATTACTTTTTGGAAAGTTTAGATTTTTCTGGTTGTAAGAAACTAAGGGTGCTTCTTGCCAGTAAGTGTAGAATTAAGGACATAAAATTTGATAAGGAAGGTTACGAAAGCATTAATGAATTGGATATTTCTAATAATAATCTTGGTAATCTTAATCTTGATGAAGTTTTACAAAATTTTCCTAACTTGGAAAAATTGAGTTATGGTGATGCACTTGACAGCAAAACGTGAAAAAATCTCATAAAAGAAGTCAAATTTGATTTCCCCATCAAGTTTGTTATAATAATTTGTCGCAATGTAAAAAAAATCCAAAACATCCTCAATAACCCCAACGACTACTCCCTTGAAGATTTACTAAAATTGAATGAGAAAGAATTAGAAGGAGTGCCTGATGAGTTAAAAGAAAAATTACTTGAATTAATAAATAAAAAACAAGAGGAAAAATTTGCTGATGAATTAAGAAAGGAAGGCCTCCATATCCCAGGAGATGAACTACCTAGAAAACGAAAAAAACAAAACCCTTCTCCTACCCAAGAACCTCCTGAATTACCAACTCCTCAAGACATTCCTACTACTCTAAATAATGAACCTGAATCGGATTATAAAAAGTTATATGATGAATTACTAACTGAGGTTGAGAAATTAAAAAACAGTTCAGGCGATCAGCAAGCCAAAGAAATAGCAGAAATTAGAGAAAAGATTATCAACTCTTCTTTAAGTGAAAGTGATAAACAGAAATTGCTAAGAATGTTAGAACAACAAACCCGAACTACTTCTAAATACCAACCTAAACCTACTAGTTATACTCCTTGAATTATTTTCAGTGTAATTATTGGAATAGGATTATTGCTCACTTACTTTTTTTTAAGAAAAAAGCGAAAGAAAAAACGCCCTTAAACTCTTAGCAACGCCCAATTTTAAAACGAAATCCAACTAACTTTCTTTGGATTATTTTGCTATCTTTTTTTCCTTGAAAGGAAAGCCTAATAAATGTAAAAAATAATTATTTTCCTCACGAGAATTAGATTTAAAAACAACGGTAATTTGAACTCCCTGATTTTTGAAAGTTAAATTATAAGGAACTCTGAAAAAAATGTTTAAATCATTTATCCCCAAATTATAATTTCCGTCTTGGTCAAATTTTTCTTCAGAAAAGCCTTGAAAGTTAGTAATTTCAGGTACTTCGAGTTTAATTAATCCAAAAAGAAAGTTCCAAGCCCTTTTTTTTTCTTAGTGTTACTTTACAACCAATCGGCATCCCTTCTCGTAGTTTGAACCCGGTAATCGATTTACGAGCA